TTTATCTAATAATTATTTTCGAACCAACATATCATATGGTTTACGGGTACTTATAGAGCCCAATACACTTTGACCTTGACAGCAAAATCAGAGCTCAAAAGCCTTTTTAGGTCTTTTTCCCTATGCTAATGCATCAAAGGAAAATGTCTTTTCAGGAAAGAGAGTTTGTTGCAGAAGACATGAACATGGACAGCTGTATTATCGTCGACAACACGGTAACGGGTATTTGCAAAAACGATCCGCGAAACGGGATGATGAAGTGTAACACGGACATGGCTTTTGCGGCTGTTAACAGCAAACACTTGACACTTTCAGGAACTCTCACGGTTTGAACAGCTTCCTTTCTTTGATGAATTTTGGCTCGTAAGGGAAAAATCTGTGTAGACCAGAAACAACATCATGGCAAATTGGTCGAGAGCAATGTGGCAAAGTGTGCTGAACAGAGCGGTTCGGACGTTGGCATTAGGTCCATATCGATCGAACTTCTTCTCGGCATCTGGCTCTATCGTTGGAAACTAAAACCAAACTGTGATGCGCTTAGACATGCCTCTTTGTTCAACTAATGTTTACTGAGCATTACAGCAGTAATAAATTATCATATAATATGGGTGTCAATCAGTCAGAGTAATGCAGTGAATTACATTGAGTGTACGGAATAAAAATTAGTACTTTCTCCAGAAAGCAAACGAATTTGCAAACAAAAGATTAATAGAAGAACATTCCATTGCTCATAATCTGAGGATTACTAATATTGTTGCTTCACTGTTTTGCAAATGAAAATGGTTATAAAAAAATCTGCTTGGAAAGGATTCTAAGAATGAAATCAATAACAAATTTGAAATTATACACATTTCGTAGCTTTGATGCCAATCATTTATCTGCAGTCCCTTGTATCTGTAAAGGTTTTCTCACATACAGTGTGGAAATCGATTGCTGAAAATAAAATTGAGAAATGTTTGCATCACGAAATTGGCAACTTTCTGTGTGGAGCTACCGCATAATTCATAAAAACCTCTAAAGAGATAAGAAAACCCTAGTTTTCCAGGGCATTTCGAAGTTTTCTCCTCGTGAGTCATAGACGTGCCTGCCAGGAAATGATGAAAAGCTTCGAGTTACCTACATGTTTCGTACAGTATTCTCAAAACTATCACAAAAGATCCATTAAATTTTGTAGCATTTATTGCGACAGAGTGATAGAAAACTGTTGAAACAAAGACCGATATCATAGTTCCAGTGATTACTCAATGAAAACACATTCCTTTTTTGAATTTTGGGCAATGACGTGTTTGAAATTTTTCATTATTCACGCGGCGAGTGATCTATATCAGTGTCTTTTTGAAGTTCGTGATGTGGTTAGCATGATTTCCATGAAAGCTTTCTTTCCTATCTTATCCCCATACCTCCCAAATGGTTAGATGCAAAAATCACGGCCTCATCGTGGCTGGAATGTGTGTCTAGGTGTTGGATTGCGAAGCACAGCAAGGACTTTAACCTCCAGCAGGCCCACCCGAGCTGGGAAGGAGTCCAACGTTTCCAAACAAATAACCCAACTAGAAATAAAACGCACCATAAATGACTACCGCTTCAGTAACCGCTGCCATAAAGACTGCTTCTTGCTTACCACCTATAACACCAGAGCAGCCTCCTCAGACGCCAACCTTTTCGTAGTTCTTGAAGCTGCTGATCACATTAGAGTTCTTGTGATCGCCTTTCAAAAATGAAAAGCAGGAAAACCGACACGACACAAGACAAGATGACGGAACTCTCTTTAGTCGTGGAGCAAAGTTTTCGTCACGAAATGTAGGAGGCGTCGGTTATATCGTCCCCGACACGTTTCCCATCTAGTCATTTCGTTCAAAGTCCTATCACCACACTAGCATACCTTCGCCTGCAACTCTCGCGTCGAAAGTTAGTACCATCAGCTGTTACTGACCAACTTCTACAGCTGATAGGAGCAAAGTAGACGCCCTCTACAACAAGGTGGAATAAGTTATCCGTAGCAAAAAGTAATTATACAAAATGATTCAATCTGACATGGATATTACTTGTTTTGAGCCGATAGGTCTAGTGCTATATAGGCGCCTATTTCGTCCTATTGGGACTCATCAGTAGCACCCTCCCTCGGTTCCGTCGATCCCTCTCTTTCTCTTTTCTTTTTTTTTTCCTTTTTTTCTTTCTTTTTCCTTTTTATCTTTTTTTTTTCTTTTTTTCGGTTCGGTTCTCGTCGGTTTCGTCGAGCGGTCGATAGCAGAGGTATGGTTCATTCTGAAAGCCGCAAGCTCGACTGCCGGTCACCACAAAGTCAGGTAATACCATCATCCTACTTTGGGTGCTTGATATTTACTCGGCGCCGATTCCTTTAGAGAATTATTTCCCCTCAAGGGATCGACGAAACCGAGGGAGGGTGCTACTGATGAGTCACAATAGGACGAAATAGGCGCCTATACAGCACTAGACCTATCGGATCAAAACAAGTAGTATCCTTATCAGATTAAATCATTTTGAGCGGGTCTGTAAGAGAGCAGTCGATAGCAGAGTAATTATACAAATTCGTTCTTGGACACTTAAACACCAGATTTGGAACGGCCAGCGAAAATGAGTGGAGGATAAAGAAATTCGGAATGGTAGGACAAAAGAGAAGGGAGACCGTCTTGTAGGACTCTTTTCCGTAGCACGTTTCATGCATGGCAACTCGATTTTCGAAGAGAGTAATTCTCCAATAGACACGGGATTCCCCTGATGATGCGGCTTATGCGGGGACATGCAACACTGTTCGACATGCAGAGCATTTGGTTCAAAGCGGGAGTTGAACCCGCGTTCCACCTAAACCGCGGGTGCACGCTAGGACTACACCACCGTGGTCAGCGCTTTGGAGCGAAGCTGTCAGAAACTTACCAACCAATTGAATGCGGGTTTTTTTCCCCAAACGAGGTTGAGTGTTTTGCATATCACTCAACATTCTTAAAAAGTAATTTTACATCATGACAGTCCAAAAAAGAATAGAATATAGAATTCTAGAATTGCCTAGATACACTTGATTCATGGCGTAAAGCTTTTATAATTATAAGGCCGCCTTATTTTTGCAAAGAGCCTGTTGAGCACAATGTGAGTTCACACTATCATGGCTCTAGTGGAGAGCTTTATCACTACTGTTGCGCCTGTAGCACAACCGCTAAAACCATTCTAGAGATCAAATTTTAACTGTGCATTTAAATTCGTTGGATGTCAATATGTGGAACTGAGATCGTCTTCTCTGTAGTATCATTATCAAGAAATTGTGACGTCTTTTCTTGGTGGCGGCCAGTTGTGCGCTATCACTTGAGGTAGCGTTGATCGCCCTATCAATCTTGATAGTTTTTCAGAATGTGAGTTCTTCTTCAAAAAGCCTCCGTGTGCAACAGGTTGAAACGTCATTGTGCACGAAATGACTTGGATCGTAGTACCAGGTTGTAATTGCTGTGATGTGACACGGCCTGGCGACTAGTTCTATACCCTTCCATACGTTTTTGTTTGGGCTGAGAGTAGACAGACATTCACCTCAAACCTTCATTCACATATTTTAACCCCTTTGACGGCTTCACAATCATTTAAAAAATACCTTGTTATCTATGATCGGATGATTTTCACTCTGCTGACCATGTAAGGAAACGACTTCGTGTTTGCTTACATCCTTTCAAGGTATTGTAGTTCCTGAGTACATAATGCAACATCTGCAGCTCTACATTCAAAACAGATAAAAGATATCGCAACAATGCAAAAGTTCGACTTTCCATAAACCCCGACATTATTAAGAAATGTGAAATAAGCAGCATTGACTCGGTTCGGCGCGAGGCCACCGCGAGTCATTGTAAAGGCCAGATATACATTCAATCACCTCAAACGACGCTAAAGATTGAAGACGAATGAATGGCACATCCCTCAGAGATTGATAAACGCCGAGAACTTTATCCTTTATCCTTTATGTGAAAATCAAAGAAACTTATCTTGATTAACTGAGGTGAGTTTGGTAAAGTGATAGGAGTAGTAGTAGCTCGGCTGATGTTTAGGCGACCCGCCTTCTTCAGAGCCGATATGTGCATAATAATGTAAAATAGTATAATACATACGTCCAGGCTTTGAAGAAGCTTGGTCACCGAAACTTCAGCGGGGCTACTACTACTATCACTTTACCAACCTCGCGTCAGCCAATCAGGATAAGTTTATTTGATTTCCAGATAACGTTTATTATGGGTCTATCAATAAAAAAATTCTTTTATACGATCAATCTGTGTACATCGTCCTGAAAAGGAGTTTCTTACGAACAGAGCTAACATTCGCTTGCGCGCATTTGCCGTTTCTAAACTCTTAAATGTAGAGCCGTATCCGTGAATAGCCAGACGATTTGGTGATTACGTTACCGATTTGACAAATAAATAAGTGCACAGCAAAATTTGCACTACATTTATTTCTTCATTATTTCCAGCCCTTCTTCTTATCAGCCAAGATCATCCATACCCTGATTTTACTCCGGATGTGATTCTCCACAGCTTCAAGAGCACATCTGGCGCAGTGGTCAGAGGTACTCGGCGTCGCACACCAGGTCGATGATTCAATCGCGAGCTCATGTCTTACCATGCCATCCATCCTCCGAGGTTGGTAAATTGGTACCAGACTGGTTGCCGACTCGTTCGGGAAGATAAGCAACACTGACTCGATACAGCGGGAGGCCATCGCGAGTCAATGTAAAGACTATATATGCATTCAGTATCCTGAAACGAAATTGAAAATTGAAAATGAATGCATGGCGCATCCTCTCAGGCATTGATCAGCGGCGAGAGCTTTATCGTTAATCTCTTAATAATTAAGGATCAAATGAGATTTCTTTTATTTAACCTCTTCTAGCGATGGTATGGTATTTCAAATATACCCACTGATGTAGAGTGATGTGCAAAACCTTCGCGTTAGGTTGGCGGCTGCCAGATAGATGCGCTGTAGCATAGAAAGAATGGTGTGCAAAATGAGCGTTAATAGTGCAACGAATAGAGCACGCGCTCTCGTAAAGAGTGAGGGGCGGGTTCTAGCCCCGCTTGACGCGGAAGTATTTCACATCACTCTACCTTTCATGATCCTCCAACAGGCTCATAATAGGTTCACTTCATTCCAGGCTAGATTTCACATGACCATTTAATATGGATATCTGAAGAACGCAATTGTGATTCATCAATTTCTCGGAGTCAGATTCAAATTTAATAGCAGCAAATGACATTTATAACAGCATTCACACCACAGATGGCCGATTCGAAAGTGGTAGAAAATAACAAATAATTGCTTGGTAAAGTAAAGGACACCTCATCAAAGCTCGGATACACAAAACATCTATGATATTGAAATACAACTCAGAGTGAAGCACGTGTTTTGTAATTGTTCTTCACATCGTCACTGTATCTTTGCCATTCAACAGTACAAGGCATGAGTACTATAATAATTCTTTCTGTTTCGAAAAAACAAGCCCTTTTTTATCCTTTTATTTTATTCTATCCTACAGTTCAGATATATGGTTGTTATACATCATGTGTTGAATTCTTACTACAAAAAATACATATACTACGAAGAAGATAACGCTGATAGCATGCACAGTTCGTTGAACCATGAGTCTTCGTAGTTGGCAGTATATCGCACGAGTACAAAAGTTGCAGATCCACTGTTAGAGATAGGCTGTAAAGAACCGATATCAAAAAAAATTTTTTACAGTATTTAAACTCCTACTAGGCGATGTGAAAAAGTTCAGCACTTCCGGGGTAGCCTGAAACACGGCATAGCTTTCAGCGGGCTAAAACTCTGTAAACAAAAGATAACATATAGAGGTACAACTTCAAGAGCATTCATAAGCTGACTACGCTCTTTTTTCCTCACAGTATGTCAGCCACACCGTGAACGTCATGCGTTCTCAACGGGAGCGGTGCTGCAGGAGTCCGAAGCATGCAACCGATACACGATCCATTTTCATCCCTGTCCATAAAGTTCCAGTCAATCATCGCACTGCCTCATTCCTTTATAATAATCATAGACAAGCCTAAAGTGCTATAATATATATCACATGGATCACACATATATATCCGGTTAATCAAAAAAGTAAGAATTGCTACACAAGAGATATGATCAATACTACTTACCCAATATAGTGAGTTTGCTTGACTCTGAATCGTAATCCGAAGCGATGAACGACTTCTTTTTCATCAGTCATCTCAGCCTCCTTCCGAGCAATTTCGGCTGCTTTATTCTAAAAATTTGATGCAATCATACGGCTGAGAATGCAAAGCAGAGTAACAAACTATTGTGCTCCAAGAAGCTATGCCCCGAACCCCACCACGCACATCACCTATCATGGTGACAACTATCGACTGACGCCCGAGTGTGTCTGCGACCACCGTGAAGCAGACCAGCTTCCTCACTCTAAAGGAAGGAAAGCACTGCAGTTTTCGTCAGAAATCATCACAGGGCAGTATAAACATCACGTAAGTCATTCTCCAAACTAACGTTCGACGCACCATAAAAGCAAGTTCTTGAATGATTTCTGTCTACAGCTTTTGCTAGGACACATTTTGTGATAATATTTAGCACCGCTGATGTCATTCTTCACGTGGTGCAGGATTCTCCCAATGCCATCCTTTTCGTAGCAGATTCTATAATACTGAGTGGCTTTTCATCCTACATATGCAGAGCTTTAGTTTCCGAAGAGTACGAAAGGAGGAAAATAAATGTTAACGTGAAAAGATGTGGAAGTACGGTGTTCTTGAAACCACCAAACATTCTCAGGTCTCTTGTAGATTGGTTCCGTTTTGTTGAATTCTCACGCAAAGTTTATCGTGTTAGTTATTCAACAAGTGCATGAAAAGTCCAAATAATCGAAAATATTTTTTTCATTAAGAGTGAATAATATACCAGAAACAATTCAGTTTCCAAAAAAAAAACCATTTCACTGATATTTCTTAGAGACTCACCTTTACAGACCAATTGTCCAAAGTGGCCAACTTTTGTGCGTTCAAGCATCCTCTAGTGCATAGTTAATTTTACAAAGACGATATAATCAGCAGATGAAAATGGTTTAGCTTTCTAATACAGGATTAATTCTTACACTTGATGGATTCACGTCGTCACATAACTTTCTCTGAGATGGTAATCAGTACGCTTGTAGATTTGGGACATCACTTTGTCGAAACTTACTAGAATTATATCTTCAGGCAAGAATACCAGTCATAAAATTGCACAGTCCTCATTGTGAAATTGCTCACAACGACGTAGCGATCCTTGTGCGCTAAATATGAAAACTCCAGTTTCCCAAGGTTTCCATGAGCACTGAAATTTTAGACTGAAGGTACCAGTATAGGTAGATGAAAATGGCTAGCGCTACTTTTCCTTCCCCGCCATACTTATATCTCGTAACCAAATCAATAGTACCCACGGAAATCCCTTTTAAGACAATTATTCACACATCTGTTTTTCATCCATCGTTGAATTTGTGTTGAAATAGTGGAAGAAAATGTTTATGAGGTTGGCATAGTCTGTAAGAATGTTTAGAGAGTTTTTGAGGTTATTACGGCAAAGCAATACGTACTTTTCGGCCGTGTCGCCTGCTTCATCAGAAACCCACTCCCCACACTGAACACTACCTCATAACAGGGATGGGAAGACATTGTTGTGGGCGTCAATTCCTTCATAGAGAATTTGAGCTCCAAGGGATCGGCTGAACCGAAGACGATGCTATCGATGAGTTCAAGTAGGCGAAACAGGCGACTGTATAGCATTTAAACCCTAATGGCTCTAAATATTATAGATCCTTATCAGACTAGATTTTATGTTTGAAGAGAGATTCAAGAACAGTCGATGAGACGAATTTATGAGGTTAGACTGCAATCACACTGAGCATCAGTTAATAATGTCGATCACGTTTTCAATACTGTACGCAGTGATTCCCCAGTAGTCTTTTACCGTTTTCACTTTAAAAGGTTGGAAGAGCAGTTGTTCTCTAGTGCTAAGTATCCAACGAAAATTTTCGGCCATATCCCAGCTCATTCACGACAACGGCCGTTCACTTCTCTTGTTTGAAAATGAAGATATCCAACTAATTTTCAAGGAGCTATACCAGAATATAAAAACTTTCAAACATATGTGGATCTGAAGTGCGCGGTGAACCTGTAAGTTTTTCCGCCAGAGATTATAATGTTCATTCCCAAATGATAGTTATTGTTTATACAAGGCCAGTTTCCAATGTTGAGATCGCTAACCAGTGATGTGCAGCTCAGCTTCGCAAATAGCAGCTACAAATCGCTTGCATCCAAATTTGACTCTTCAGACCGACTAACCTGGGTTCCCAGCATTAATATTTAAAATACTTGTTCTACTATTGTGTCGATGGTGTCGTTTTTGACAGATCATTGCATTTCATTTTCACCAGGTCAGTCTTACAAAGAGACGCTCGAACTCAGTGTCATTTTCGCCAATGGATTCATTTCCATAAGGTATGCAACGTCTGTACATAGAATTCGCACTTTAACAGAGACCCAAAAGTTGCAGCTCAGTTTGAAAAAAGTTAGTAAACTCCAAGAGATACAATGAAACAGCTGTGCACCTGTGGCATTTGGTCCGCATTGACCCTGCTTGGACTTCTTGAGCATGCGGCTGTATAACACGATCTTCAGGAGAACGATAAAAGCCTAGGGCCTGATAGCCTTACTGAGTTCCTACGTTTTCACAAGTAGTGAAGAATGTTCAAATCATATTTGTAAGTGACAATGTTTTCATACCTCATGTGTTAAAAAAATGCATAGCGGGTACTAACTGCGTGTGTGTGGCAGTGGCTTCAGTAAACAATAAAGCGACTGCCAAACAATCTTTATCAAACCACGCATGTCATGTGGTCTGTTAAGACGGGCTGACCTATAGAGCCCGAATCACGTGTGGACATAGAGTATAAAATGTTCATCGACGTTAACTCCTAGTGTGGGGACTGGAGCACGCACATAAGACTGCAAAAGACGCGAAAGGGTAACTGCTCAACTGGCGAGACCGCAAGGTTGAAACACGTGTATTGGGCTCTATAAGTTAGCCAGTCTTAACAAGCCACATGAATACGTGGCTCAAAAATGATTATTTAGAGTATTGAAATTTGAGATGTGGTCTTAAGATAACACTCGAAACGAAGATAAAGTAAAGCGACTGTCTTTGAATCATATGATAATCACAGCTGACGCTCAGAGTCTCACTGAATTCAGCACTTCTCCGGTAAATGTGGTTGCTTGCAGAAGTTCTGCTATCTGCTTTTCCAGTATTCCTCTGTGTTGAAGTACCGCCATTACAGTGCCATCTGTTCTGGAACAGTAATTTATCGAGTTCTTCGCAGCAGTCCAGTTTGCGGCTCACCGTCAACAACGTAACGATTTCTTCAAGTGTACATTTCAACGGTGTAGTCACGTCTTCTTTGATGCGACTGACGTTAAACATTACATCATAAAGATAGCGTTGTTTGAAAGCTTCAGTGATGCCTTCAAATTTCTGTTCAAAGAGGGCGCTCAAAATTCGGAAGCATCCATTGCTTATGCACGAAGGTTACCTGCCAATTTTCCTGTTTAAAAGAACTTTATTAAAATGAGCTACTTTGTATACACCTATCAGAGCTTATTTTTGTGACAAACAGAATATGAGGTTTTGGTAATATTACCGCGTACGAAAATGGATTTTCATATGATTTCGTAACCGAATTAGTAAGAACTACAGACCTCTTGCAGAAATAATTGGAGATAAGTCCCCAAAGGATTTCTCCAAACTTTATATTTACTTAGTTAGAATCTGCACCGTCACTTGTACATCATTCACTTCTCTCGGACTCTTTGGCGGAGAACTTAGAAGATATCACTTCGTATTTTGCACTTCACATTTTTCGTTGTTCTTGTGAGTCTATCAATGTTTGACAATTCACCTGCCGACACAATTTTATGTTATGTAATCTGAATTTTGAACAACGAGATTAGTCCAAAACAATGAGTGACTAGATAGATAGGTTAGATACTTAGGATAGTAGGATGCTTCCTCGAGGCG